TATCTATCTATCTATCTATCTATCTATCTATCTATCTATCTATCTATCTATCTATCTATCTATCTATCTATCTATCTATCTATCTATTATCCTCCATACTAACAGAGTCCTATGTCAAAAACAAGTAGGTTACTCTACTCCTTGAGCTACTGAAGTGACACGTGATCAATTTGTTCTCTAGCCTTTGAAGTTAAAATTGTTTTTTGAGTGGCACTGACAATGAGACCAGAACTTCTTTCATTCTGGCCTGAGTAGGCAGAAAAGTAAAAAAACACTGTTCCTTATTGTGCATCATCACAATGCTCTTACCCAGCATGCCCTGTAGTGATGCAATTAGAGCGCGATAGTTTCCCTCAGGGCACACTGACAGACCATCACAACACTTCAGTAAATAAGAGAACAGCTCTATTTTTAGTAAAATGGTGGCAGCACATTTTTGGCAATATTTAGTAACTTTTGAAGGAACTTCCTAAACTTGAGAAATCTGAGGATTTTCTCAAGGAATGCAGAAAATCACGTGTAAGCCCTGAACCACAGGGAAGACAGCAAGCATTACAGATACACTGTACTGCTTAGTGTATCTGCAAGCCCAACACTGGGACTTTTAGTTATGATCTCTAGGAGTGAAGCCACGCAGAGCTACATTTTAAAAGTGGTTCAGTTAGTTCCCCAAGCACCTTTAGTTTCAAATGAGTCCAGGGACCTTTACCTTTACTTTCCACTTCTCCTTCCTCTTTTTCTTCTAAACTGCAATCAAGCTAGTTAGTAAGGTTGGAGGCAAAAAAAAAAAACAACCCAAAAACAAAAGAGAGAGAGAGAATGATGCTCAAAATCAGTGCAGCAGAGGAATTTCCCAAAATGCCTCCACTGTTACAGCCTTGCTGTCTGGTAAAAGCTTGACTGTTCCAAACAGCACGGTCCCAGTCTGCCATGCAGCCTTAAAAATGTGTGGCCTCAGGGTGCGCTGGTGGCACTGTGGTTAAGACACATTTCACATAGCTGCAACCTGCTGGTTTAATTCCTTTATTGAATATAATACCCCTCTGTCTCCCTCCCCCATTCTGTATCTGCTTCACTACTGTACACCATCTAAAAATGTTAAAATGCCCTAACCTGCTCGCCCACAAGAGAAAAAAAAAAGGAAAAGGAAATCAGCACTCTTTAAGCCGAGGCGTAGACACGCCTGAAGACACCACAAGGGTGGCCTTTCTCAGACTTTCTAAAACTCTCCAGAGAACACTGTAAAGCTCTTCATGATGAACAAACTGAATTTTTCTTTAAATCAAAACAATGAGAATATTTTAAAATGCAGGTCCTCGTCGCATTAATAAATGTCACGTATAGCCTGTGGCTGATTATAATGAACGAGGTACTGAATGGGCTGCAGTTTTAATACTTTTGAACTTATGTGTGACATAGAGAGACACAGATACACCAAGCATACACCAAGCCTCATAAAAAAGATCTCTCTCTCTCTCACACACGCACATAGACACACACACACTACACAGGGCTGTAAATGGGTGTGACAGACTGAACAGCTAGGCAGTGAAAGAATTAGGCTAAAACTACTTCATGTTAACCTCAAACACAGAAACCCACCATGAATACATATGCAGACGCCTGCTTCTCCAGGTAAGTGTTCTCTTCCAGCTGTCCCCTGACTATATTTATCAATTGAACCCTTTCCGTGCCTCTTTTTTTTCTTTTGAATAATTTCTCTTACCTGTCATAGAAATGTCGATGAGCCCCAGAAAGTGCATCAGTTTGAGGGAACTGCAGACCACCAGGAGGATACCCACAGTCTGCAGCCCCTCCACCTCCCACTTGTCTTGGAAGAACAGATGCATCCTTCCCCCTTCCTCTCCCTCTTTTCCTATCACCAAAAATCTTTCTCTTGCCTAGGGGCAACCGTGCCCCCCTCCCTCAGTTTCCAGCCCAGAATGCAATGTCTTTGTCTTCAGCCTCTCAGTCTCCAGCTATATCCCGGCGTTCAGCCATCCTAACTCCGCACAGCTCCCCACCCGCTGTCTTCACTGAAGGTAGATTGTTATTCTCCTCGTTTCTTCTTCGAGAGTGGTAAGTGCGTGGCAGCAGGAATTTCGACTTGCTACTCCACCCCCACCTCCTCTGAGGCTGTCAAAGGTGGTTTAAGTTCCAGGTGAACTTCGGACAATGCACTGTGTATGTCCTGGCAGGTTGGTGGCAATTGTTTTCTGACTCTCTGGTTTTCTTGCTGCTGACTCAAACTCTCTGTTCTTTCTGCCTGTCCTCCCTCTCTTTCTTGCCTTACCTCCGTCACTCTCCTACTGCTGTGTCCCTCCCCATGTTTAATTGGGTCAGTGATGGAAGTGAAGGGAGGAAAGAGGGGGATGAGAAATTGAGGCGGGGGAAGGATAGAATAGTACTACTTGTAGGTAAAGAGGGGAAACAGAGAGGGGGAGACATGCGAGAGACAGATGAGAAGAAGGAATGGAGAGATGAGAGGGGAAGATAAAGGAGGGGCGAGAAGGAATGGTCAAAGACAAATAACGATAAGAATAGCAAATGCAAAAAAAAACAAAACAAAACAAATAATCACTCCAAAAGAGGCAGCTATGGGAAATGGAAGGATAAATTTAGGCAGAGAAGAAGCAGGAAAAGACTTAACATAAGGGAGGGGAAAAACTGCGATGACAGAGTGGCAAAGCATCTGACCCAGCAACGACTGTGGACAAACTCACAGATGTGACAATCTCCCCTGAGTATAAAGTCAACACACAAACACACAGCCTGGAGGTGAAATCTGGCTATCAAATATTGCATTTGAACTCCAGCGCAGCGTGGAACATTTCAGCTGGAATGAGATCTATTGCTGTCACATCTGGCACACTGACATCCAAGCACAGACAGACACACTGAAAAAACCCCAAAAAAACAACACCCTCCCCCTAGAAAATAATGGATTTAATGTACCAGAGTGGATAGGAAACTGATTTAGACACTTAACCTTTCAACAAGGTGCACAAGGCATGAGTGAGTACAACAGGTAATAAAGTTATGAGCCTTCTAAAGCACAGTGTATAATGGATACATGATCAAGGAAATTATATTTCTAAGTGGAATTGAGATATCCCAGCTGAACCGATATTGGATCCAGTCATGACCTTATTACTATAAGTGGATCTGTTATTGGCAAGATGCGGCCAATCCACACTAAAGTCATTTTCTTCGTTTGTCAGTGCAAAAATTGACTATCTGTAGTGCTAAACCTGAAATTAAGTAACACCTACAACTGATTACTGTGAGTGGTGGTAACAAGAACGACGTACTGAGGCATAAGAATTGCAAAAAGTCCTCCAAATGAAATGACAAAATATGTAATTGATAATCTTGTTCCACAACAATGCATTTCTACATTTTCTAATAAACAGCTCCTGTCAGCAGGGCAACATTATTATTTGTTTTCTTATTTCAGTAACAAATAACTGACGGAAAAAAAATGTTTTCTAAACTGCTACATGGTTCAGATGTTAAGAGGAAAAGTGCAATATATATTTAAATACAATAACTACTAACAGATATAGAAGGCTCATGGTCATGGCTAGGAAGGAAGCAATATTAAGTTTTTATAGGAAACGGGATGAGAACAATGGTCTTGTGATACCATGAACCCAATCTCAATGTCCACACTCAAAGACTTGCAGACTTTGAAGTTCGTTACAGCTAAATCTGTGAGGCTTTAGGGCTATCCCACTGTCAAACAGTCAGGTGCACAAGGGCTCTTTGGCAAACATTTTGAGTCCTGTTTGCATACTGCATTTGTGCAGACTGTGCCTTTGCCAAGTTCATTGTGATTTCGCTTTAAACACACTGTTGCAGAAAGAAAGAAGAAAAGCAAAGTTTTTGCATAAATCTTTTTTTATTTTTCTTCTTTTTTTTTTTTACATTTTTGTTTGATGATGAAGTTTGAAAAAACTGATAAATTATTTAAAATAACTTCTTCTTTCCACTCTGCAAGGTAGGAGACAGGAAGATTTCAAATGACAGTTAAAGTACAGAGTTGGTAACTTGCGTTTCTTTGCCAAGGCAGGCAAGTGTTTTGGGAAAGTAATGTCGTCTACTAATCCATTCAGTAGTGCTATACAAAAAGGCAACCGAGTTCATGTTCAGTGTCAGAAACTGGGCAATCACTGTCAACTAATGTTTCCATTATTCTAAAGCAGACATTTAATTTGTGATGTCAAGCAAGGAACAAGTGTTCATTAAAATAAATGTCTTCACAGGTGCTGTTCTATAAATAATCTACATAACGCATTGTACGCTCACTAGATACGTCATTAGGTGCATCTGTTCAACTACTTTAAAATGGAAATATCTGATCAGCCAGTGACATGATAGCAATTCAGCGCATTTAGGCACATAGATATGGTCAAGACGGCCTGCTGAAGTTCAAACTGGCCATCGGAATGAGGAAGATTTAACTAACTTTGAATGTGGCATTGTTATTTGTTCCAGATGGGCTGATCTGAGCTGTGTACTGGGATTTTACCACACAAACACCTCTAGGGTTTACAGCAGGGATATCAAACTCATTTTACACTGAAGGGCACATATAGCCCACTTTGATCTTAAGTGGGGTGGTGATGAGTGAAACTCACCTTTCAGTCTTCACCTACACATTTAATCCCTGAGATATCTTAATATAAGATAAAGAAGGATAATCTTGACACCACATCTCAGTTTTTCTACATCATAGATGTGTAAATTGAGAGAAAATCAGCAGGAAAAGCTGCAAAACTTCTAGAAAATAAAGTTAAAAAATGTATGCCCACTTTCATATTTTCCAAAGCCGTCCAGTGGGAGTCGTTGCCAGGCCAATTCTTGCCCACAGGCCTTATGTTTGAAACGCTGGTTTAGACAGAATTGTCTAAAAAAAAAAAAGAGTAGATATCTACAAATGCCATGTTGATACCAGAGGTTAGAGGAAAATGACCAGACTGCTTCAAGCTGACAGGAAGGTAAAGTAACTCAAATAACCATTTGTTACAACCAAGGAGAGCAGAAGAGTGAGAAAGAATGCAGAAGAGCATCTCTGAAGACTTAACACACTGAACCTTGAAGTAGATGGGCTACAGCAGCAGAAGACTACACCACGTACTACTATTGTCAGCTAAGAACAAAAAACTGAGACTCATCAAAATTGGACAACAGATGGCTGGAAAAACATCGTCATGTGGTGACTCTTGGTTTCTGCTGTAACATTCAGATGGTTGGATCAAAATTTGGTGTAAACAACAAGAAAGTATAAATCCAGCCTGCCTTGTATTAATGGTACAGGCTGCTGCTGCTGGTGTAATGATGTGAGGGATATCTTCTTGCCACACTTTGGGTGCCTTAGTTGCAACATAATTCCCTACCTGAGTATTGTCGCTGACAACCCTTTATAGCCACAGTGTAACCATCTCCTAATAGGTGCTGCAGCAGTCAAGAATTTCAAATCATCTCAAACTGGTTTCTTGAACAACAGTGAGTTCACTGGACTCACATGACCTCCACAGTCACCAGATCTCCATCCAACAGATCATCTTTGAGATGTGATGAACGGGAGATTCACAACATGGACGTGCAGTTGATAAATCTGCAGCAACTGTGTGATGCTGTCATGTCAATAAGGAACAGAATCTCTCAGGCATGTTTCCAGCACCTTACTGAATCTATGCCATGAAGAATTAGAGCAGTTATGACGACAAATGGGGATCCAGCTCAGTGCTAGTAATGTTTAGGTAATGAAGGGGCTGGTGAGTGTATTAACTTAAATAGAATACGCAACATAACTTTTTAAATACTGTGATATATTCAGGCCAAACTCTCAAATACAGTCAGAGTCAAATCAAGGATAAAAGTGCTACAGCTCAAGGCTGGTCATACCTATCTGTCATTATCTCTTTGCATTATTATCCCTGTCATATACCAAGACGTTGCTTCTCTCCTCAATATTTGTTCAAACATGACGGCTCTGTGAGTCCAGGAATATTCTAAGGCACTGACTTTTGATCTTACTGTTGCAGTTGCTTCTAATAATGGTAACAAAGTTTAGCTTGCTTCACTGTTGCACTGTTTGTATCCCCGTACGCACTGATTTGGTGACTTGTAAGTCAAAATATGTCTAGACATCCAGGTAACTGTAAAATCAGAGTGGGCTAAATTTGGTTGAGAAGTGAGGTTTTTTGTAGACATCTGAAATGAATGCAGCACATCCTTTGTTTCAACGGCTTTTCACATTATATGTTTTCATGTAGTGCAGAAAAAAAAAAGATTATGCCTTTATAATAAAAGGTATGCAGAACTCAAACAGGAATTTGCATTTACTAAGCCAGGCAAAAGATAGAGGACTCAAATGCAGGAAACCAGCAGATAATTTTAAAACTGAGAGCTTTTGATATGAAGAAATGCTGATTTGATTATTGCTGCTGAAAAACTGGGAAAAAATCTAATTAAAGAGCAGAAGTAAAACCAACTGGGTTGAGTGATTGATGAGTGATTTCAAAAGAAAATAAAACGTAAGCAAACAGAACCACCTAACAGCAACGGCAACAAACAAATAAGACTTCTCCGTGAATCATTTTTAGTTTTAAACTTTTAAAGTACATTTAAATGACAAATTCACACTTTACATGACAATGCCAGGAGACACTGCAATTGTTTCTTGTCAATGACGGCCCTTAGCGACCAATTACCAACTGACGCTGCCATCTCTCGAGCCAGGCCATTACTGCGGCTTAAAACAGAATGGCTTTCACAACTTATCTAACAAGCTGCAACTACAATGGCTGGAAATGAAGCAAACTGTTAATTTTAATGAATTTTCACTTTCAGTTTGACACTGCCTCCACTCTAGCTGTAAATTTGGGAAGAGATTTCATCTCCCAAAACCATTTTCTTGGGTCCAACATAGACACCTGAATCACAGCTCTTTTTTCAGTTGATACTCATCCTCTGTAATTACAAAAATCTGGTTTTAAGAAAGGCTCAGAGCAAGAAAAAAAAATTAAAAATTAGACTACTTTTTCCATCTTCTTCGTATTACTCCTCCTTGGGTCCTTGTATTGCCTATTCATTAATCCTCCCACAACGCTCGGTGGCCCGATCATTTTTCAACTGAGAAGCTGTTTCATGTCACCGTAGAAGATGAATCAGTTACTTTGGTGAAGTGAAGGGGGTTAAATGGGCTGGACCCGGGGAAATGCTTGTACTGATTTTGAAAATCATTTTACTAAGCTTTCAGGAGGCTTTAAGGTTTGAATGTGTCTCAGATGGCCAATGACTGAAAGCAATGATTGACAGTTCACTTGCCTGCTGCTATTCCCTGGCCCCTAAACGCATCATGTCAGTGATACTCCCACCACCACCGCCAATACTCATGTATCGATGCTCCAGGAGTTATGCTTTGAGAACGTCTGGATGCAAATTTGACTAGAATTTGATATCTGTCCATGTCACAGAGTAGCTAGAGGAGCCAATATTATCTTTGATGGGGTTATTTTTATTTATATTAAATATATTCAGGATGAGGTGGAAAGTTGGATTTATATATACTTACAACATACTAATCTCCAAATCAGTCACACTGTGAAGCTTCTCTGTATTTAAAAGTTTGGTAAACAACAAAATCCTGATTAAACTCCTCATACAATAATTGTCACTTCATTTTTAATCAGCTGAGGTCTTTGCAGTGGGTGTCCAACAGAGTGTTTCTGTTTGCTTGGAATCTGACAGTCTGTGTGATATAATTAGCAGGGTAGTGGTTATCTGACATACTACTCCTTTTTTTATCCCCATCTTATCCATCCATCCCATCTGAAGGTGTTTAAAGGGCAGTTTGAGAAATCACAGATGAAAGGGTTTTGGGGTTTGTTTGTTTTTTTGCCTAAATTGTTTATGTGTCATACAAACGAGAAGGTGGCAGCTCTAATGCATCCCGAGGGATATAATGACAAACATTTACTTGGGAGAATTTTAATCTACAATAAATGGTGACACCCTCACACATGCGTGCACACGTAGACTATAATAAAAAGTTGGGTTAATCAGTCTTACTTGATTAGCCTCTGTGAGGCATAGTTTGCCCGAGGCCAGACACACCAAGTAATTGAAATACCTCCATATTTAGACGTCTACCTGGGCAATTATTCCTCTCAAAACTGATTAAAATGTCTAAGAGAGTGCAAGGGGGAGGGGGGGAGGGTGTGTGTAATATGTGTGTGCGAAAGCGTGCAGCGAAGGAGACACAGAGGAGGTCATTGACAAATGGTGCTCAAAATTGGCTAGTGTGTTTCCAATTAGATAAGTGAAATAAGAGATCCATTTGCATAGATCATTAGCTTTTGAGGATATTTTTAATACGGCGATGGGGGACAAAAACAGTTTCTACTGAAGCCGAGTCCTTTCAGTATAAACTACAGAGACCAGCTAATGAACAGTTTTCTTTAGAAAGTGCACACAACCCGGTGACACAGACGGATCAAAAATGTTGTCTGTTTGGAGGAAATGAGATGTGCTAATTTATGTTTTTGGGAGACATCGGCAGCATCCGAATGCTAAGTTTGGGAGTCTCTCTCTTTTACTCGTGTGACATTTAATGATAGGGACTAAAGTTAGGATCAACCAGAAAAGCTAGATCTGTTACAGTTTATATTTAACAAATACATGATGAAAGTGCCAAAAACTACTGGAAGGATATCATTAGTCTTAGTTGTTAAATGATCGTGTGTAGGTTAAAAAAAATGTAGCTGATCTGTTTACAGCTCATTAAATCAAATGTGTTTAAGGTCTTTAAGGCACAAAATTGACCATTTTAAATTTTGACAAACTTTAGATTGAAGCGATTAAGCAGCACACCTGTAGAGGGCAGTGCAAGGTAAGACATGCAACTAGCAAAACAGCAGTCAACAATGCTGTTCAACTCTTGGCATGCTCTTTCCTTGTTACTGTCCTTGATTTAATCCAGCTGCAGGGAGCAGTTTGAGAGAAATGAAAGATCACAAGCTATTAATGATTTCCAATGCCATCTCTCTCTCTCACAAGCGCGCATTCCCTGCAAGATCCGCGGTTGATATTATGGCATTGTCTAAGATCAAAGCAGCAGCAGACCAAACAGCATTAAAGTTGTACTTTGAACCCTCTGACACTCAGCTTTCATGCCTTTTTCTAATGCATCCTGTGTTTGTGAGTGGTGTAAAGCAGTCAATCTAAATTGGGTTTGCATCGCTGACAACAATCCTCTAAACCTATTTCTATCAAGTCATGAAACCTCTGCTCTGCCTTTTCCTGCCAGGAGCCAAATCAGGAAAACATCCTGTGGGTCGATACAACAGAAAAAAAAGGGGAAAAAAACTTTATCAGCTAAGAGGGTTGGAATCTCAGCACTCCGAAGGTTTGGTTTCAGCTGTGGAAAGATTTGTTTCTAAAACAACCACTAAAACAACTCTTAAGTTTAAATTAGTGCCACAGCAACTATATTACGGAGCAAACCAACTACTTTCTCAGCCAAACAACACATTACTATGCTGGAACACAAGACAGTGAAACATGTACTTTGAGGACAGCTCAGCCAGCGTGCAGCAACTTACAGGAAAGTTATCCCAAATGCTTACTGGTATCCTGCCATGAATAAAGATCAAATTGGCAGTTAAATCAATGGCAGAACGACAGCAGCCTGTAGCCTTATTCTGTTGTTGTAGGACAGGGTAAACAATAGTCACTGTCTGTCCAACACAAATGTTTTATACTCGTGAATCCCGCTGCCAGGTTTCTGTGGCCTTGTTAATACTGTAATGTAAGAATCATGAGAATCAGAGAAATTTTTAAAAAGATAAGAATAAATAGAGAGCTGCACCATCAGGCAGCGCTTTCAGTCTTTACTCCAATTTACATTCAGCCCATTGGGGTCAAAACCAAGCAAGACACAGTAATAAAACTACAGATGTGTGGCTGAGACCTGAATTATTCACGACCATTTGCCCTGATGGTTACCTCTTATATTCTAATACATGAAAGGAAAGTGCAGCTTTACCACAAGTAATGTCTGCGGCCTAATTAAGTAGTTTTAGGAGTAATTGTTCTTACCATAACCACAGCTTACTGTCTTCTATCCCAGCATAACCATTGCCATCTCAGAAAACTATGTCTTATATTTTAACAGCGCCTGTGTTCAACTGCTATATGGGTTCTTATACCAAAGAGCAGGGATGTCAAATTCCTTTTAAGGTGGGCCACATACAGCCTATCTTGATCTTGAGTGGGCCAGACTGTGGAAAATTCCATTTCCCATTCAGTTCCAGGTGCATTTGCAGTTTTTGTGAGTTCTTATTTTATTTATTTATTTTAGTGTGGACACATTGGAAAGAAAACTGAAATTTCTAGAGTAAATGGTTAAAAAAGGGAACTTTTCTATAATTAAATTGTTTAGCTCTCACTTCATTAGTTTGGTGTAGTATGAATGGCCATGGGGGAGGTCTTTATCCCTAGTGCAAGCTTTAAAATGTATGAAAATACAGTTAAAAGTAAAGATTTTATAGCCACCATAAGATTTTTCAAAGATGTCCACTGGGCTGGATTGGAGTCTTTGCTGGAACATTTCTGCCCCCCAGGCCTTATGTTTGACATCCTTGCCATAAAGCAAGATACAGTCTATTCAGCTGCTGCTTATCAGCTGGTTCAAGGTAGCTCTAAAGAGGATCATCATTTTGTACTTTGACTCAAAACAATGCTACCAGGTTTAGTCTGTCTGACAGATCTGCTACAGCTGGGTGGGTGAATATTTCATCAAATATTGCTGGTTTCTTTTGTGCCTGATAAACTGCTGAAGCAACTCAGAAAAATCTAATTCATCTTGAAAACAGCACAGCCGAACATTAACGGGTTAAGCTGCTTGGCGTAAAATGGTCTTCAAATATGAAGCTAATGCAAATCTTTCAAATTACAAAAAAATGACAGATTTTTTTTCAAGGTTAGGTTTGTGTGTGTGTGTGTGTGTGTGTGTGTGTGTGTGTGTGTGTGTGTGTATTCATTAGTTTGTTCTCAATGTTATCATCTTTCTCCAGACGTGTGTCAGAGGAAGAGCAACGGAACGTCTACAACTTCTGTTCTTTTATTCACAGAGCACCTGCCATACAAATACAGTCTCTCATTTACACACACACACACACACACACACACGCACGCACGCACACACACACACACACACACACACAACTGCCATAATGAAATCAGGGGATGGGGAGCCAGAGAACGAAGACAGACATTGACAAAAGCAGAGAGGAGGAAGAAAAAATGAAGAAAAAAAGAGAGATGGAGTGAGGGAAGGATGCAGAGGAACAGAGAGAGTTGCGTATTAAATATCCCCTGTCTGATCCTCCCGTGTCCCAGGCTCTCATCGTCTTCCTGGCTAGCCATCAGAGGGGCAGAGACAGAAAGAGGCTCAGGCAAGGTCAACAAGGACAGTCTCCTTGATCCTCATTGCACTTTTATTGCAGTTTATAAAGTTTGCCACAATCGGAATGATCCTTGTCCAAACCATTGATAAAGTGTCTTAACTGCTATCGTTTTTTCAATTTCTCCAAAAGAGCCCAATGAAAAGTCTTTCAACAATTCACTGCTGCAAAATGTATGACTTTCGGATAACATTTTTAAATGTGCTTTTGGTATGATATAATATAGGGATGGTTTTAGCGTTCACAGACCCTTATACTGGGTGTGAAGCAACACAACTTACTCTTAATGGACTGAATGGACTGCAAACACACACACAAACACACACACCCATCTGCCCTCATTGTAATTGCCCTTGTGTTGATAGGTAAGCTAATAGACAATGCGCCTGTGTGTGTGTGTGTGTGTGTGTGTGCGTGTGTGTGTGTGTGTGTGTGTGTGTGCGCGCATGTGCATGCATACGTGCTTGTGCTTAGACATAGATAGGTCTTCTGCTGACCGCTAAGCTTTTTACCTGCTCTTATCCATCTCCTTCATGTTGTCATCATACTTCCTTTCCATCAAATAGACACACACCAACCAAGGATCCTAGCCAACTGGCCAAATATCCTCTTAAGCATGAAAAAGATGATTTGCTGAGCCTCACTGTAGACAGGAAGAGGATGTTGTTCTATAATGGACCTAAGATATAGTGTTTACCAGAGAAAAATATGCACATACAAATATCTGGCCATTCAGAGTTAGAAACCTATAGATTGTTATATAGATTATCCATTATTATATAGTTTATAATACATTTAGTGAATGTATATGTTTTATTGTTATCACATCCATCTTCTTTTGAGAGAAGTGTACTAGAAAATACAGTATTTACACAATTTTTTAAAATCTTTTATGTCTTATTTAAATGATTAGACCTGTTAGTGATGGTAATATTGCACTGAAATGTATGTAATTGAGCAATAAGAAGCAGGAAACTGGGTGACATAATGTGGAAATCAATGTCTATTAAACAAAACCAATTAGTAAGTGCATAGTAACATACTGGTAACAATATAATATCCTGCTTAAAAATTTTTTTATTAGTACATTAGTACAAAGGCATATAAACTTTCATATGGTCAGGATATTGAAGTATAAAATCTTTTTGTTTTTTCCAGTTGTAGGTCTTATGATGAGAGCAGAGCAGTTTACTCTTCTATCTATCTGGTAGTGACAGTGAAGTACCATCCACATTTAACAAATACAGATATGTTTGTCTGGTCTGAGGTTTTCAGCTGTAGAAATATTACTATAAAATCGAGGAAAAACGTATAGTTTTGCATTTTGCAGCCCTGGTTGCTTGTTATTACAAATACATTATCACGTATTTCTATATAACTATAACATTACTCAAAGTTTGCTTTATTATATTATTACATGGAATTCACATGGTATTTCTTATAAACTACCAAACATGTAGTATCAGGTAATAAGCCACTGTATTTACATGGTTATCTTCAATGAAAGAATGCTGCAGACAGAAGGTGGGATTAATTCCAGCAATATAATATCCAATACTGTTATATGTAACCTCATTTTAATGAGGTCACAACTGCTTTAAAGTCAGGTTATAAAATGTTAATGCACAGTCGTAACAGTTATT